AAAAAAAAAAAAACTGTATCTTGATGAGAAGATAGGTGGGCACTTCCACCTGTCTAAGTAGAAGTAAGAGATGACATAAGTCATAAGTTCTAATCCACAGGGACGTCGTCGAGGTCTTTTTTCAAGGGAATCGAGATGTGGAATCAAGAGACAATAATTTTGAAGGTGGGTTCTGAAGACAGAGTTACAATTAATTAACCAAGAGGAATTATTTTAATTCTTTATGGTCATTAATGGTTTCCACGCTCTTTTGGTTTTGTGGGGAAAATATACAGAAAGAACAGGACAAGCAACAAGAAGCTCCAGCAAACTATCATGGCGAACGTAAGGCTACTATAGAAGACATTGATTTATCAGAAATTTTCTTCTTTCTTTTAATATAATTAATCTGGACTTATTATAATTTGCTTGTTGTTTCTCGATCGGTTTTGCATCTCTGATTGATGCAGAGTATGAGCCTCAGGTTCTTCGAACAGAGAAATCCCAGTTGGTGAGCCATTCCCATCCACTTTGATTCTTCTTCTGTTTTCTTTTCTTTTCTTTTCTAGTCTTATCTTTTTTAAGAACCAAGCTGATTAGTTGAACTTGTTTTCCTTATTTACCTTTCATCATCTTCAGGAAATACTACGTTTCAACTTGAGGTGGCAAAGGATTCTTGTGCTATTACTCGTATGGTTTTCGTTTCTATTTCTTCAGGTCCTCAAGGCACGTTCTCTCTCTCTCTCTCTCTCTCTCTGTAAACAGAATCTCAAGGACCACATTTAATTTCTTGGTTCTGGGTTGCAGAATGGTACAGCAGTCTGCGGTGCATGGTATTGGGTGCTCAATGTCTTACAGGTGGGTGATGAATGCACTGGAAATGCTTTTGCTTAATTTGTTCTGGAGTGAGTCTGGAATGTTAATCTGACGATACACAACACACTGTTGGCTTTGATTAGTTTCCGGTGGCGCTGCTTGTGCATGGGTATGAAGCAAGGAAACTGTACAAGGAGAGCAGGAACAGGAGAGTGGTTGGAAACTCAGAGGCAGTTTGTGAGGCCACAATCGACTGGACAGCACTGCACCTTGCATTCTGTGCTTTCTGTGGCATCATTGGAGGAATTGTTGGTGGCCTGCTGGGTTCTGGTGGTGGATTCATATTGGGGCCACTCCTCTTAGAGCTTGGAGTCATCCCCCAGGTATGAAAATTGATATTTGGCACATGCTCTGGTATGCAATGCAAAGAGTGATTTGATGTTTGGTTTGCGGTAATAGGGATCTGAATCAAACAGACTATGGGATATTCAGAAATGGGAATAGACCATTCTGATTTCAAAGGATTTCAATTCCAATTCCAAATCAAATAGATTCTTAGTGTTTGATTTGTAGCCCAACCCAACCCATGTAATTTAACAGCGACAAGGCTTTGTTGAGTTCTAACATTTGGTATTTGATTTGTAGGTTGCAAGTGCTACAGCAACATTTGTTATGATGTTCTCATCCTCTCTATCTGTGGTGGAGTTTTATTTACTCAAAAGATTCCCTATTCCCTATGGTAGCTATTCCAAATTATATAATAACAGGAAGTCACTATGGGTGTTCTCCAATATGAATTGTTTTTCTTTATTGTGATTCTAAATTAAAATATACAAAGCATGTTCCTTGTTGTGTAATTTTTCTTTTTTTTTTCCTATTTTTTCCAAGGACTTAAAGAAACTTGTTCTCCGAATTGCATGATTTTGTTTTTTATGCACAAAACATGTCCCTTGTTTTTCATGATTTTGTTCTAGTCTCAAAAACTTACCTCCGGAGGTATGATTTTATGTTTCATAAAACATACAATGCTCAAATAGATATTCTGATTTATCAAGGGAGTGTTGGTTCCATGGGCATTTATCAAGGGAGTGTTTGTCAAGTAAACATTTATCTGAAAAATGATACTTTAAATATTTTTTTGCTTTTTCTATTTGGTTGGGCATTTTATGAATAACACCCCATAAAGTTGACTTCTACCTTAGCTTAAAGTGTGCCATATTAGCATTTCAATTCAAGAAATGCCCAGGGGTTAAGGGAAGCGAGAATTTGACGTTTCCTCACATGCCCCATGTACATAAATTAAAGCGTTTCATTTTTGAATGTTTATTTGATTAACGATGAAACCAAACAATGGTTTCATATGCAATAAACATCAATGCCTATGTGGCACTAATGTGGTGGCGTTCTTTCAATAAACGCCCATGAAACCAAACATAGCCATAGTAAGTTCATGTGTGCATGTAAGCAAACCATCTAAGCCATATCTGGGAGTGCTTAAGTTAAAAATAAGTGCTTAAAAACAAGTATTTATTCGAATAAACACTTATTTGCATTTGGCACCCAACTTTTCAAGTGCTTATTTTTTAGATAAGCATTTATTTTATATTGGGCGTTTGTTAGTCTTTTTCTCTAATAAGCACTTAAATAAGCATTTGTGACTATTTTGTCCTTCATTTTTTTCAAATTTTCAAAATATACCCTTTGAAAGCACTTTAATAAAAGTATTTTTATGAAAGTACCCCTACAAAAGCACTTTTATGAAAGCACCTTTATAAAAGTAGTACTTTAATAAAAGTGCTTTCATAAAAGTACTTTTATAAAATTCAACTAGGGATAATTTTATAAGTGGTATTTCAAAATTCAACTAAGGATAATTTTGAAAGAAAAAAAAATTGAATAAGTGCTTATGGTATAAGCACTTAAAAGAGGCTGGAAATTTGGGCTTAAAAAATAAGCCCTTGTTTTTAAAATAAGCACTTATTTTGGGCCTATTTCTCAGATACCAATAAATGTTTAATGGCCCAAATAAGTACTTATTTTTAAGCACTCCCAAACATGTCCCAAATCTACTTTCTCTCATTTTATCACTTATTGGAGTTGTTCCCTATTCCTTTGAATGATTTCATTTCTATTTCTATACTACGTACATTTTTTTTTAGTTTCTCCACACATTCATCTCTACATATACATTTCTGCCGCACTTTTTTTTTACATGTTTCTTGACTGTCCAATACTCTGCTCCATACAGCATTACCGCATCATTTTCCTTGTACCAAAATTAAAATGGTTTTTACTGTCTATAGAAAGACATCTCCAGGTAGTTTTTTTCCTATTTGTTTATAGAAAGAGAAGGACATATCCACACATTCATCTCAACATACACAATTCCTATTTGCAGCTTTGTATCTTATAGCAGTGTCAATGATGGCCGGATTATGGGGACAGTTCCTTATAAGAAAAGTGATTGAATTTCTAAAGAGAACTTCCATTGTAGTCTTTATTCTGTCTTCTGTCATCTTTGCAAGCGCAGTAACAATGGGTAACTCTAGTTTCTTCCCACATTCTGTCTTCTGTCTTCAGTCTATACTTGCCATAAGAGAGTAAACTGGGACCTCTGCCTTCACATTTTTTATTTTTTGCAGGCGTCGCTGGCATCAAGAACAGTATCCTAATGATACATAACCATGAGTACATGGGTTTCCTGTGCTTCTGTGAAAGTTGATTACTTCCTCCATAGCAGATAGCAGATAGAGAGCTCACAGAAAGGGAAGGAAGAGGATAAGAGAGATTGGCTTGAATTCTACCAAAATCAGTACAAAGGGCGTTGGCCAACACCTGATTGACCAGCCCAACTATATTGCTATCTAAACAATTAATAATAATAATAATAATGATGTCTCCCATGGTTGCTGTTGGGTGTTGACTACCTACTTGTTAACACCACCTCTGTTTTTTTTTTTTGTTTTTTTTATGTTAGCTTTTGGTTAACACTAAGACAAGTTGATTGCTTACCTTACCTATGATATAATTGTGCTAGAAGATGCCATGTTGCCTTGCCACCAATGGACTGAGAAGCTTGATGGGTAGAGCAATGATCACTAGAATCGTCTTGGTAGCACCAATAATCAATTCTCTTTTTAATTGAAAAACCGACCTAGAATTGGAACCGTTCTGCCCACTGATTTCTGGGTCGGTTCGACTGTCTGGTTTGGACAGACAGGCCATTCTGACAAAAATTAAAAAAAAAAAAAATATATATATAGCTAAAACTGTTGAATGGGTCTATGGGCCATTGACCAATTCAATGGTTGTTTTCTTTTTTTTTTACTAGGGACCAGGTTTAGGGTAAAATAGAACAAGTTGCCTGGACGATTCTGAGCCAAACGATCCAACCATCCAGATCAACAACGGTTCAAACACATTGGTGATATCTGCTATATAAATTATAATATCGAATGAGCAATTATACATTCCCTGAACTTAGAGAGTGGCGGCACTTAGCACCCCAAACTTTCATTTGTGACAAATTAAATACCCACTTTGAAGTTTGAACTTTCACATTTCAGCACTTTGCCTTCCTTGCGGTTGGCATTCCATTAGTTACTTTCAAAAAAGATTTACATGAGACTAGCATGTGCAAGTTTAAGCATTTTTAAAAGTCTAAATTGCCCTCATATAGACCATTTAACAGAAAATGATAAAGTAACACAAAAAATGAAAGTTAAAAGGAAAAGTAGGAAGTTGAAAACAATATAAGAAATACAACAAAAAAGGAAAATACACAAAACACTAAATACAAGAGATACAGTGCTTTAACATGTCTATTTTTATTATTTTGATATTAGTCTTTTCTCAGCCCATTGAACTCCAGATGTACATTTTAGCAGTTTTACTTTTACTGTCAAGATTCTTAACAAGGCAAGGGCAAGTTCTCTACTCTTTGAACCTTCTAACAGTTAAGATAGCCCTTGTATTAAATGGACAACTTCTCTACTCTTTAATACCCTCCTCATGAGGGCAGCCTGCTTTCCTCTCGAATGTTTTCAAGATGGATTGAAAATAAGGTTCCAAACTTCCAATGTATTTTCAAATTTCAACAGCCTGCAGATCCAATGCCTTCACAGAAACCTTCTCTTAACTTCTCTACTCGAAGATAAAAGGCCATGCATAAAATCAAATTAGAACAGTAAACACAAATAAAAATAAATAAAAAAAAAWCTAAAAGAAAGAGACGAGATAAAAGATTAACCAAAACTGTAGACACTGACATCACCACATTCAGAGCGGATGGAGTACGGCATTTGGGAAACTTGGCTGTCAGTTAGACAATGCAGTTTTTAAGTGTTTAACACATTAAGGCTATGTTTGGTTTGAAGGGAAAGGTAGCGAAACCTATACAAGTTTTATAAAGGTTTCCTTACCTTTCCCCATTTTTTCCTTCAAACCAAACACAGCCTAAAAGGTTGATAGAAAACTATACGTCTTCACCAGACAAGTGTTTTAGAAATTGTTAAATGGAAAATATTTGAATCACAATGGATAAAACCAGCCCCAACCTAAACAAGCACAATAACAAGTTAACTCTATAAAGAAGCAAAACAAAATGTATAGAATGTATATTTCCAGGAAAGATTTGTGATACATGAATCCCTCCTACAATATCAATAAAGTTGTACAACAAACGCCAAGCAGACCAGTTGTACATGAAGGGAAGCTCAACACCGTCCCAACAAGTGAGAAAATGGAAACAATCTTCAGAGAATAAAAAAAAAAAAAAAATCCACCTGGTTTGAGACCCTCCTTTCAATTCACCTGAACTTGGGCAGAGATTTTCAAAGTTGCACCAAAACCGCAATGTACCATATCCATATCAGATCCCGAATGATGAACCATTAGGTTAAGTGATTATTCCTCACAAGAACACAAATAGTGCTTCCGAAATAGCTCTATGTCCAAAAACGTTGCATAACAGATGCACAGTGCCGCAAAACTACCTGGATGGATTAACAGCTGCCTTGGTGGGCTTATTACTAGGTTGAGTATCTTTAACAGGCTTTGCAGTTACATCAATTGCAATGTTGCCTACACCCACCTCCATTGCCTCTCTCTCATCCTTCTCCCTCTTTTTCTTCTCACATTCTACAGATGAGGTTTGAACAGAGGGCAAGGCTGGCTCAAGAAGCCGAGGTCCTGCAGTTATCCAAGGATGAAGGAGGCATTGTGCTGCTGTGGGTCGCTTCTCAGGGACAAAATCCAGTATGGGGACCAGGAAATCAGCTATATCATTTGCATCTTGCTCGCTGAACTCGTATTTCTCCGTGAGAACCTTATTAAGTGGCCAGAATCTCAACCGCCTGATGTGCCTCAAGTCTCCATACCTGTTGAAGAAGTCCCGGGAATACCGACCACCTAATGCAATCTGAAAGAGAATTTGTTGACAAATTGGAAGTCAAAAAGCATTCAAAATCAAAGCACTCAGCACCACATAATCTGCTTACCTTGCGTGGCATCATTCCAAGAAGCTCCATCATCAGCGCCAAGTGATCCTGTAAAAGAGAGGTTATAATGCTCAACATTGCCTAAACAGAAAGGATTTGAACTTAAAATGAACATAGGGATACATGCRTGAATTAGGAATCATCCAGTCAAAGCAAATTGTCGGTCAACATTGCCTAAACAGAAAGGATTTGAACTTAAAACGAACATAGGGATACATGCATGAATTAGGTATCATCCAGTCAAAGCAAATTGTCAGATCCCAAAAACTACAAAAATATTTAACCCTAGTATTACATCAAGTCAACTTTGATACTTCTAGTACCAACAAATATAATTAAAATGTAGCAAGTACTTTCATGACATCTAAATCCAGGCATTAGAAAGCACATATCATCGTCACCATCATCATCATCTAAGTAGGGGTGCAACTTGGGTGCACTCGGGTTGAGCTTTTGTCAGAATTTGAATAGGCCCCAGCCCTAAGGCCCAAGCCCAAAGCAGTGTAAAATGCTAACTCAGGCCAACCCAAGTTGCACCCCTACATCTAAGCCTTGTCCCAACTATATGGGGTCGGTTACATGAATCCTGTTTCACCATTATATTCTGTTAAATGCCATATTCATCTTTAAAGAAAGCACAGATCTTCAATGCATAAAAAAATAAATGGATAAAGCATTTACTACAATAAACAYAAATTTCATTAAAAGTAAGGATTACAATATTTTAATAAAAGAAATCAAATGGAAAGTGAATAAAGCATGCAAAAAGTGAAGAAATAAAGAACATGCAATCACAAAATTCTAATTTTTTCTTCATAGAACATCCAAATGGCAAGTGATAAATTTGAAGGTGGGTAACTGAGCACTAGTTTTACCAATAAGACTTATTAAGCCATGATTCACGATGGAGTGCATGCATGTTAGAAAGCCATAAACAAACACCATATATGTGAAGGAACAAAGACCAGTGGATCAATGATGCATTATGGAAGGGATAAATTTTAAGTGGTCATAGTTCAAAAACCAACTATTTAGTTTTGACTTTTGATCATTTAGTGCCTCACAAGGGAATGATCCTTGCATGCATTATGCTACCAACTATGATACCCAAATACCTTACCTTTGGTTTCATGATAGGTCCTTACTTGTTTACCCTACCCCTTTTGTAATATAATGATCCCTTGCTCATCTTCTGGTTTGGCTAAAGTATCGGCCAAACCATGTCCTCATCTTCTAACATGTCTAAAGCCAACCCCATGATAAACATCTCACCTCCTTCATGGCTTGTCTATGGGTCCAAATCACCAAATTGCTTTTTTACATCCATTCAACCACCAGTTTGAAGTCCCCTTCCAGAACTCCATAAAGGCAATATTATGCTAACAAGGAATAGAGGAAAAGGCTGATTATGGAATGCTAACGGATAGAGCATGCAAGAGTATCACTTGCATGGGGACACAAGGTTGGAAAACAGGGAAGGTAGTAGAACCAAGGCAGCCTCTGACACAAGCAGGAGATCCACGAGGTCTACAATCTTCTTGAATGAGAACTTAAGAAACTATGGCTTACAAGTGACATGGATTGAAGAAAGATCTAGTGTTATAAGCACCACGAACAGAGGAAAATGTCCCTTCCTCTGTTTCTGGAGCTAGCCCAAAAGGGTTTCCCTCCCCTCTGTTTCTGCTTAATTTTCTTTATACCAATAAAGAAAAAAAAAAGAACAGAGGAAAACGTAAAGGAAAATATAAAATAAAAACTGAGAGGAGCTGGTGAAAGGTTGAAAAGGGGATGGCTAAAGCTTTTTTTTTTTGATAGGTAAAATGAAATTTATTGATTAATGAATGCTAGTATAAAACATATAGTACAGGGCATATACATGTCTTAGGTTAATCTAGCTACCTTACCCCACATAATAATTATATGCCATAGTAGTTTGTTACCCTCCAGTACAACTGATCCCTGATTACCCCTTCTCTTATGAGTGAGTTAGTTATCTGTTGGATGATCTTTGAGTCCAATTCCAAGCCACTACAAGGTCCCTAGCAAGTTGCTTGGTTTCCYTCATAGTGTTCCACTATTGCCATGTTCCGCTACTGTCATACGTTGCCACCTCACTACTGTTTTTGAATTCCCTTCAACCATTACGTTTTGCATTTTCAACCTCTTTCCAATCTCCAATCCTTACAGGACAGCATGTAATTCTACCCTTGTAGTCCCCCACACATAAGGCCTAAGTAAATAGCAATAATGAAGCCTGAACTATCTCCAAAACTTGCTCCTATTCTCGATGAGACTGGATTTCCAAGGGTATGCCCCATTAGAGTTAAGCATTATCCAATTCAATGCAGGAGGATACCACTCCCTTGAGATACTAATTCTTGAAGTTGAAGAGTTTTCTATATACCGCCATCCTCTTAATATATCATCATTACACAAATAATCAAAAAATATATAGGATCTGCTCACCACTCTTAGTTTCCTACTAACAAAATCCCAATGAAAGTCTCCTAGGGTCTTCTTGGCTCATTGAATATTCTTGCATTTCTCTCCTCCCAAAGCACCCACAAGATGGTGATAGCTCTTGTGCATCTCCACATAAATTTTATCCCTTCTTTTTAGGATTGAAAAATAAGGTCATAAAGAAACTTACCATGTCATTGGGTTGGGCCCACCTGCAACCAAAAAGGGCAAATAACCATTTCTCAAACACAGGATACATAACCTCAGGAGATTAGTAGATGAAAAGTAGATTCCCCACTTGCATCACACAAAAAAAGAACTTATGTGGTGAGTCTAGTGGCAAGCAAGTACTAGGTCTCTTTTGCAATGTTTCACAAGAATTCATCTTTGCGAGTAGACCCCAATAAAATAGAGTTAGCATGGAACATCTGGGGAGGAGGACAACTACCAACCAAGGCTTGTGAAAGAAGGCACAAAAAAAATGCCCAAACAGAGAAATAGTCCAAATACAAGAATCAGGAATCAAAGTATCAAAGAATACCCCTTCCAAAGAAGATAACAAGCTAAGCACTAGGTTGCACTCCAAATCCCTTTTTTAGAAAAGTTAACTGATTTTGTTGAAAGAAAGAGGGTACACAAGGTGTACAAGTACAAAACAGGGGTCAGACCCCTAAAAATTACACAGGTGGAACTTTGTCACAATACAAGGTCTCTAAAATAGCACCTAGTTTTGCTAATCCATCCACAATGGCATAGCCTTACCAGCATGAAGATGGACATAGTCTTACCAAAAAAAAAAAAAATGAGTAGATGGATGGGAAGAGATCCTTCAAAGGGTCGTTTTCACACCTGAGGTCTTTCCAAAACCTCACCTTCTTACATATGGAAGCATCATAACAAATGAATTGAACAAAACWAGRAWGAATAGAGATAGCTTTCACAGGAGAGGTATAAGCTGCACTATTAGATTATGCCACAGATAATCAGAGTCTAAGATGAACCACTAAAACCAATTACCAAGCAGAGCTGACATTTTTCAGTATGCAGAGCTGTACTTTTAAAAGCCAACATTCCAATTTCCAAAGTCCTGACCCACCATCCCTCTATTATTCTAGAGTAGACCATGTTTAACATGGGGGTGAGGTTCTTTTGATTTTAAATACATTCTCTTTGCTATAAGGGGGTAAATAAACCTATCTTAAGAACTTAGAACCAGGTGATTCAATTGATTTTAGTCACCCTGAAATGCAATTCAACATCTGGAGCCAAATTCTTGCACAAGATCAGGTAATTTAGTTTTTTTTTCTTTTGATAAATAATAATGAATTTTATTAAGAAACTGAGAGTGTATAAACAATTTCTAAGCATCCCATCAGGTGATTTAGGTTTCTTAAGAACTCATTTTTGTAAAGCCACCATGCCTTCTCACTACTACTCAACTATCCAATAGTCCTTTGAATCTCCTTCGATGATAAAGTTGTTCAAATTCATGTCTCTTGCCTATTGCACTCCTTGGACAACAGCATAAAATTCAGCCCTTGTGGAGTCCCCAACTCCAATTGGAGGTTTGGACCCAAGAATAATAGCTACCAATACGACCATCCTAATCCCTAAATGGTCCTCCCACTCCTTATGGACCCAGGTTACCATAGGTGCTGCCATCAAAGCTCAACTTGATAAATCCATCCTGAGGTGGTGTCCAACTAACTCCAATGTCAAATACATGATATATGTCAAACTGCTTTGGATCCTTGTCTTCTTATAAGAAGTTGCAGCCACTCCCAAGCCAAGTTCTAATGCAAGATCAATCACTTTAATGCCAAACTAAAGCAGGATAGACTGCAAGGGGGTGGGGGATGAAAGAGATAACCCTCCTTGGAATCAACACCTTCGTTCCTTTTTTATTCTTTTTTAATCAGTGAACCATAATATAGTTGTTTCAATTGTAAACTTCTTTCTCATTTTCTTTGGGTTCTTCCCTTCCTTGCAAAGGAAGAGATTAATGAATCAAATACATGATATACGCAGCATCCATATTACCACAAACTCCAATGTCAAATACTAGCCATGGGCATAATCAAACTGCTTCAGAACGGAGCACATACAGGCTGTCCTTAGCTGAAAACATGGACACCAATCATGAAGCCAAAGGAAAGTGGGGTGATTATATCTATGTGGATGAGTACAATTATCTAAATGTGTACCTCAGAAATTCAACACCATATCCAGAACTGGACACAAAAAGCAAGAAAAAGGCCAGAGGAGTACCTTACCAGTTCTTTGCACTTTATTTTTCCCTTTTTTTTAATAAAAAAAAGAAAGGCTAAGTTATTTTATTGATTCTCCAGAATAATGCATACTGATTTACACATATAATTCATGTCCAGCAAGAAACTACACGCAAGTGCAGTAAAATGTCTACATCCAGCACATCATATTGTCTATGTAAACAACTCCCACCAATTAAGGATAAAAGCCCATCTACAGCACACTTAGACATAGGAACCCAAGAGAAATAGTGTACTATATCATTCCTTTCAAAAAAAAAAAAAAGAAAAAACATTTAGTACAAAAGAAATACCAAATAATCACAACATCCCAATACATAGCTCCCCCCCCCCCCAAAAAAAAAAAAAAAAAAAAAATGCCACATCAAAGTATGCATGCCCTGTCTGTTCTTTGGAAAAAATTCTGCTCCTCTTGAAAAGGAGGAAATCCTCTCTTTTCACAGTGAACAACAAAGCCACATCTCCCATGTTTTAGAAAAATTTTAGAATTCTCTTGATAATACCAATGATGTGGCTTTAAGATCCACCGTGAAAAAGAGAATTTCCTCCTCCTTAAAAGGAGTCATTTTTTTTATAAGTAACAAAGCGATTTATTAAGAATAATTAATATGAGCCAACAAAAGGTACATGATAGAGTTCCCACAGAGAGGCACGAGATGCTGCCTTAGAAACAAAGCAAAATTACAACTAAGCCCAGAATAATTGATCCCTATGCACCCCTTGGTTGGCTAAAAGATCTGCCATACCATTAGCCAATCTCCTCTCCCACTGAACTCTAACTTTTAAATTGGAGGTTAGCCACTTAAATCTTCTCATCACCCCCTATATGACCATGCTACAGTCTCTGGCTCTTTCAGCCACCCAATTACCAGTTTAGAGTGTCCTTCAATGACCAATCTCGTGAAGTTCAAATCTTTTGCCAGCTGTGCTCCTTATAAAACTGCTTGAACCTCTGTACTAACTGCATCTCCCACTCCGATTGGGCCAGAAAACAAGGTGATAACCTGACCCTCTGCATTCCTAAACACGCCTCCAATACCAAAAGGCCCAAGATTGCCAAGGCTGCTACCATCAAAATTTAGCTTGATAAAGCCTTATTCAGGGGCCTTCCAAGCAACAACTGGTTTGTTCTTAACAGAAGAGGAATTTGCAATCACTTCCCAATTTCTCCACAAGTCAGCTAAAGAGAATTGTGAAAAAAGCTCCGATGCTTTAGCCCAATTAATAGCCCTGTTTAGCAAGCAATCCCAAACAGAATCCTCATCCCTCTCTTTATCATTGCAAGTTCTGTTATTTCTATCTTCCCAAACTGTCCATACCAAAGCAGCCCTAACACATCTCCATAAAGCTCTCCCTCTTCTCTAAGCCCACCGAAAGTTTGTAGGGTCAAAGAGTCACCAATTTTGCAAGGGCATCGCCTACCTACAACCAAAAAGACCAAAAATCTTCTCCCAAAGTTTCACAACAAAGGGCAAGAAATTAGCAAGTGGTGTCAGCTTTCTCCATTAGCTCTACTAAGGACACACCAATTTGGGGAAATACTAATGTTGGGCCTTTTCTTTTGCAGAATGTCCAAGGTGTTTATTTTTCCAAGAGAAACTTCCCAGCAAAGATCTCCCACCTTGGGGGAAGAAGGAATCACAAGAAAAGATACCCAAGGTGTTGGAAGTACAAATTCTAGCATCAGGTTTGGAAAATGGTCAAAACAAACTGGGTCAAGGGTTTTAAGAAGCAGAGTGGCTTGGTCTAGTTCAGAGTCTCTAAGATCCCTTCTAAAAGGAGCCAAATTGAACTCCTATTCTTTGGCCTGGCCTCTTTCCCAAGTGAACCATCAAGTAGCACTTTAAGATCTAAATGGTGGTCCTCAAAGAATAGCCCCTTGTGCTAAATCCACTTGCAAATCATCCACCAGCTCTAAGTGGCATGGGTTAGTATCACCTCTCCTCATCTGAAACCATGAATATCTCCTTCTCACACTCTAGTCTATTTGCAAAGTTTGGCCTAAAGATCCAAAGCACCCCAAACAGCAAGATCTTCACTTCCCACCAGCTCTATTGCTTCATCTCATTTACAAATAGARAAGCCCAAATTAATGAATTCTTGGGAGAAAAAAAAATCCCATCTTGTTAGGCAATCCTAGTGACTGCCATAGTCATTAAGGTGTCTAAGCCATTCTAGGCAGCAGTGGAGTGTCTAGTCCCATAGTCACCTAGGTCTTGGAATTTTACAAAGAAAAAAGCATGATTAAGGTTAATACCCTAACAGAACATATGTAAACCAAAAAAAAATAGAAACAATCTTTGCTACTAACATTGATTTCCCTCCCAACTCTTAAAACAGTAAATCATATTATTTAAAAGACAATAAATTTTAAATCAATTAATTTAATATTTCAAACACAACATTTTTGTGGGTACTAAGATATTTCAAACACAAAATTATAACATAATAGTATTTTAGTAGAGCAGTAGCATGTAAAAATCTTAAGAGAGAGTAACAAAGGGAAAAGAACATGGGGCACAGCCCTTTTTCTGTTTAATATGAGAGAGAGAGAGAGAAATGTAAAAAAGAAGAAAACTCTTTATCCATCACTTCTTTTTTTTCTCTGCTTAAAACACTTGGATTTTTATATTTTAATCGTAAAATCCTTAAACAAACTATAAATAATATGCATAATATTAAATAAGAAATATAAACACAAATAGCAATAACATGCAGTCCCAGTAGTAATATTACAATATAGCACCTGCCTTGTGATTTTTGTCACCTAGGCAGACACCTTATTACCTAGCCAGGCACCTAGTCACCTAAACAGGTGCTTTTTTATATATAAGCCATGGGATTCAGGCAAGGTGCCCAAAAAAGGGCACCTTGTCACCTAGGCAATTCCTTGACAACTATGGCAGCTAAACAACTAACTTCTACCATAACTAAATACCAACCACCTGGGACCTCAAAGAGTCCAGGTTCCTCCCTACACGATTAAAGAGCCTGAAGTCTGACATCATTTGAAAAAAGAGAACACAATGTACAGTTTCCAATTAACAACCACATCAACCATAAAYATGGACTGAGTGGCATGCTTTTCTTCATCCACAATCTCAAGAGGTCCATTAAATTAAAGACATAAATCTCATTCTATGTACAAAATGTATCCATTTTCATTACCCCCCAAAAGCACCAATTATTTCATACATTTACTTATTACAAWCATGTTTTTCTCTTTTGTATTTCAACTCTTTGTGGTTTATTATTACATTCATGATTCATTAATTCAAGAACCAATACTATGAAACCCAAATAGTCAAGTTATCCTGAACCAAAAGGTTTCCATTGACAAGAAATTCTTTCTGGAAAGGTAAGCAATGAACAATGCTAACAATCAAGGCTTTATATACACCCATATTGCAATGAACTCCATTAAGAAGAAAAGCTGCATTAAGCAGTTACATACATACTAATGAATAGAACTTGTAGAAGGACTCTAAAAGAAATTAATTTTCTTTTACTTTTGCCTAGCCACCTTCGACTTTTGCCAGTACAAACAAAAATTTGCAGAGAAAGACACAACACATGCACAGTTGCTATAAATGATTGGTCAAATAGTTCCTTACAAACCATCAACAAGCACCATCAACAATCTCACAATGAGCCAATAGCAAGTTATTTACTGCAACCTACCACTTCACCATTTTATGTTAATGTGCCCTCTAACAATTCACATGCAGATTCTTGTAGTGACAACTAACAAGTAATAGGGTAGTAAAGTCAGAAATCCAGGATATGAACAAAATGAAGAATAAAAGATAAAACCAATGATACATGATATGCCGAAATACATTCATCAAAAAAATAATAATATGCCCAAATACACATCAACAAGTGTCATAACCATTATTCTCCTTCGATTGAAAGTATTAAGTTTAAAAATGAGTCTTGGGATCCAGGAAAAAAAAGGACAACAAAAAAAAACATCATTTTTCTTTTCTTTTCCTTTTTGACTGTCATGAGCCAGCAAATTGTTGGGTTAACTAGAGATCTAGGATATGCAGCACAGCAAACAATTATCCCTGAAAATTGCTAAATCAAAGCCCTCAAGTATGGCATTACTGCATAAGAAAGTGCAATAAGTACATAGTAATTAATGATAACAATCTTTAACACAGAAAGAAAAGGCCTCTGATATAAGATGTGCTTGCAAGAATCTCTAGAAGGAACAGGCCAGGCAGATAATGATAGAAAATAAACATGCTTAAAAACGATCATCATCACCATCCAAGCCTTATCCCAACTATATAGGGTACAACTAAAACAAAAAAGATGAGATTTGAAAATATCAACAAAGCCATACCTCATCCCTATCAAAATTGTCACCACTGTGGGGATCGAAAAGAACATCACCAGTCGCCAGCTCAAAACATATGCAGGCAAAGGACCAAAGGTCAGCTGAAGTAGAGTACTTAGATCCAAGGAGAACCTCAGGACATCTATACTGCCTTGTCTGAATATCACTTGTAAACTGTTTATATGTCCAACAGGCATTCCCAAAGTCAACCAACTTGCATTTGAGGTTCACTGAAGCCAAAAGCTTCTGCCTAGTGGAGCGGCTCCCTCTCCTGTGACCCTGATTTCCTTGATGAACTTCCTTACCCCCATCAGCGTTTGATGAGTTCTTCTTGCTGACAGAACTGCTAGGCTGGTCTTCTATAGCTTCAGCTTTTGCTTTTACATCATCAGAAGAGTCAGCTGCACAAGATGTTTTGGGATCTGCGTCAGTTTCCTCAGAAACTTCCTTCCCTACACAACCTTGAGCTGCCCGTTTAGCCTTTCTTCGGATCTTCTTCTTCTGGTTCTTCGTCAAATCTCCATTTAAACTCTTAACATCTTTTGCAGCCCCAGACTCGAAAACAGTCTTATCCTTACTAGTGGGGAGAATGAGAGGAGCCCCCGATTTCCTGGGATCTTTAACTGGGTCTATCATGGACAATAGTAAGATATTCTCCGGCTTTAAATCAGTGTGTATAATAGAAAGCTGCCGATGTAAGTAATCCAAACCCACTAAAATATGGAAGCAAATTTCCTTAACCATATGAAGAGGCATTCCACGATAGTCAGTGTACTTGATAAGCGTCAGAAGATTATCACCCAGATACTCAAAAACCATACAGACATGCTGCCCATTAGGACCTGAATGCTTGAAGTGATCCAAAAGCTTCACGACGCACTTCTTGTCATCTGGGTCCCCTTCTGCAATCTGCTTGAGTATGGTTATCTCATCCATTGCTGCCTCGGTGTAGTGCTGAGCGCTCTTCTGAACTTTCAGAGCTACAAATCGCTAAAGAATATGCAGAAATGATAGGAGAAAAAGAAAAAGAAAAGAAAACCTCAATTCATAGTTCTCGAATATGGTAGAAATTAAAGAAAAGGGGGATTCTTTTTATAGAAACCAGTCGACAACACAGAACTACGATGCTAACTAAGTACCAACAAGAAGAAAAGAAGAGGTATCGAGTTTTGGAGGCATACAGAATGTTGAGTGTCCCAAGCGAGCCAGACGGTGGAGAAATGGCCCCATCCGAGCTTGCTCTGCACGACGTAGCAGCCGTTTTTAAATGTATCACCGATCCGAACAGCGTGGTAACCTCCACGCCTATAGTCCTCGGTTCCTTCGTCTTCTGATGTGTAATCGCTGCTCTCGCTTCGATCTTCCTTTTGGGGGTCTCCCATTGAAAACCAAGATAAAAAAAAGGGTCGAAAAAAATATTTCTTTTTATAGGAAACGAAAGCAGCCCAATCAACCGCCTCGAATAATGAATTCTTCTGCTCGATTCAATACGAAAAGAAACTTGCCCAGACTGGGAGGGTTCTGAGTAAAGAATAAATTTAGGGTTTTGCAGGTGAAAGAAAAAAGAAACGAACTGAAAAAGATCCCCCCTTTATTCTCGCAGTTTGTCTTGCCGGGAAATGGAAGAAACAGAAGAGAAAGAAAACGACTGCTCTACCCCTGGCTATAAAGAGAGAGAAAGAACTACATAGAGGGCGACAGAGAGAAAAAGAGTTCAAAGCGGATGTGCATATAAATGGGTGTCGAGAAGGAGTGCAGACGGAGCTGATGATGACTACTGGTTCGAACTCACTCGCTTGCAGCTGCGTCTAACCTCTCTCTCCCTCTCTCTTTCTCTCTCTCTCTCTCTCTCTCTCTTCGTAGATTAATTTAATTAATGGATTAAATTAAACATGATTTTATCGAATGAAGAAATCTGAAATCAATCTGCAAATCCCTTTGTCGCATTCTTGATTCCTCCCAGGAATACCTCAAATCAAAGCCGTCCATTGTGGGTCATGAACCAATGATGCATGGGGTTTCTGAGTATTGTGGAAACATTTGATCAGTTCTAGAATCTAGTCCTCCAGACTCCCGTATAATAAGTGCTTATCGTTTCTCTCTCCAATCCCCAAATCCCATCATCTCTCTCTCTTCTCTGGAAAAACTCAATCATATAAAAAGGCTGAAGTGGCGATGGCGTGTTCTCCTTGGGAATATGTAGACGATACGTCTTGTGGTGGTGGATCATGRATGAAAGGCTCCAAATAGGAGTCATCATCGCCAGGCTGGGCTGGGTTGGGCCAGCTGGGCTTAGCCCCTAATAAGTGGCTTACTTTGAGCATCACATGAGCCCAGTCCGGCCCTCACCCCTATCCTAGGGTCAAGCGTATTTTGGTTCAAACCGAAAAACCAATTTGAAACAGAAACCGGTGCAAAGCCTGTTCAAACACCCATTATAAACTTGTATTAGGAATATCTCTCAATGAAATAAAGCACAGCAGTGCCGAGATGTTTTCAATACAAGGCTGTAAAGGCTGTCCGAACGATGTTTGAATGGGCCTTGCACTGACTGAAGCCGATCTCTTTGAAACATTGGTTTCGGTGTGGATAGGGTATATTTGTCATCACTTTGGTTGTCAGATTTAAAAAAGAAATGATTAATCGAAAAACCAAATTAAAATGTAATAGAGATGTAATCGAAATGTTTTTATATGTTTAAATAACCATTTGCTAATGAATTTCAATTTCAACTGAAATTACTGTATGGTTTGGGAAGAGTTTTGACCAATCAAAACCCACCCATGAGTTTTAATAAATAACACATAATTGACTACCACGTTTATGATTCCAATTGATTGATTATAAATTTTTCAGATATCATATCTTTTCCATATCATAGTCGAACCCTTAATTCGATTTTGATTTTTAACTAAATAAACTGAATGATCACCTATTCACCCTGGCCCAAGATATATGTAGAGCAACAGAGGAGCTAAATGGAGTAAAGGTACAACTTGAATGGGGTTGGGCTTTTGTCAAGGTTTAAATGAACCTCACCTGAATTGAGGCACAAGCCCAAAGCAATATAAAATGTTAACTCGGGTCAACCGAGGTGCACCCCTACTAATTGAGTCAAGTAAGGAGCTTACCTAAGGCTGCGTTTGGAAACAATGCAAATAAGTGTGAATGCAAATATGTAAAGTGTAAAATGGTCTATATAAATTATAAAGTTGGGTTAGTTTTGCACTGACAAATTTACCTCTTTACCTATAAAGCATATGTCTTTATTTAGCAAAATCCCACTTGAAATGGTTGATATCAATTGGGGAAATATTATGAAGTAGAATATAGTGATGATGTGGATTGGAGATTTAATATAACCGGCCCAAAGCCATAGAGCTTGGCAATTCGGATTGAGCATATTATCATACCACATAGTCATTGATGGGTTGTTTAGGCTGTATTTGGAAACGATGCAAATAGAGTGTAAATCCCATATCAGGGTAAATTTACACTCTAGTTCATTTTTGCCTGTTTTTAGCAATATTACATTTTTGCATTGATAAATGACAAGTCAATGCATATTTACATTGATAATAAGATGTAAAAGTACATCAATGAAAAAGAAATAAATTTGCATTCAAGTGAGCTTTTGATAAATAAAGACATATGCTTTATTGGGAACATCTCCCAGTGATAATACCAGAAGCAATAATGTCATCATCAGAAGATGTTCCTAATACACGGCGGAAATGTGCTGTGGGACATTGTGGGACGCAGATCTCCAATCCCCCCAAAGTTGGTGGTTGTGAAATTCAAATCACCTCTATTAGAACAAACCAGCTAACATAACAACTGAACCACCACCCCTCAATTGGCTGAAACCCAAATAATAGTAGGCCTAATCCAGAAACCCATCATTCAATTAAATTCACAATGACGATTAACCTGACATGAAATCAATTAGTATATATTTACAACTATTTCTTCTTTCAATATATTAGATGATAAGTTCAAAGTCATGGATAATGATGATGATGGTGAGGACGAGAATGAAAGTATCATCTATTAGATAGGACTTGTCCTCTAAATAGATGATTACTATATATAAGTCTATTAGTCTTTGCCATGTTTTATATAAAATTATTGTAAAGATTTTGATGAATATATTGAGGCCTCTAATGGACATGTGTAAAGTCCCTCGTCAATATGCTTTCTAGGCTAATGTTTGAATATAAATAATGTTATCATAACTAATAAGAAAAGAATGAAAAGGGCAGGAGTTTTAGACTTGAATGTGACTATTTTATAAATATTTTACTAAACCATAAGATCCCATATCTCTTTAATTGTTCATTTTTGGTTAGAAAAAGTCGAATTAAGTTGTTATTTAAGTCAATTATCAAGAAAAGATGTTAGTTAAATTGGAAGAAGAAGAAGAAAAACTTCATATGTTAGGATTGCTAGAGGTAGCCCTAGTATTTCCCATTTGCTTTCATATTCTTCTTTTGGCTAGAGCTTTCAAGGCTCAAACTACAAATATTTTAGACTTCTGTTCCAAAGCATGTCATGCCAAATAATCAATTTTTAGAAACCGGGGTTCTCTTCAATTCTGAGAATGAGCATAATAAATTTGGAATCCAAATATTTAGGAATTTTTATTTTTTGGATCAAAAGAAAAACTTCAGTTGTAGGGGTGTAAATGGATCGGATCATGTTTCAATCTGATCCGATATCCGATCCTATTTGGTCGAATTTGGATCAGCCTTATTCGGGTTGTCGAATCAGTTAACCATATTCAAATCAACCCCCATATCTGATCCGAGAAGATATGATCCGATATATATTATATATTTATAAATATATATAATACATATATATATGTTAATTATTTATTTAAGCATTAGTATTTTTTAATAATTTATTATTTTTTAAAGAAAACAAGTCAGATCAGATCAGATCCGAGTTACCGATAGGATTCGAATTCAAATCAAGTCCTATCTGATCCGGTCAGATCGTATCCGACATAAACAATATCAAATTGAATTCGAATATACCCTGATTCAGATCCGATCCAATCCGTTTGCATCCCTATTTTGTTGTCTCTTCCAAAATGGTTAGGGGCATTGGTTTTAGAAAAAACTTACAGCTTATGACACAATTAAAGCTCTTCCAACCATACTTGTTTATCCCAAGGCTCAGTTTGAAAGAACACAAATGCAAATATATATTGTACAAATACATATAAAATAATACAAAATATAAGATTTTGCATTTGTAGAATATATGAACATCATTAACTAAGTGTATAGACAAGTTTAGACATAAAATGGGTTTGTAAGTTAAAATTGGATCTAACTTGAAAGTTTAGGAGTTTCACTGGATTTTTAATGGGGATAGTTATACACTCTTATTAGTATCCATTTTGGCTAACTGTTATTGTTATTGCTGTTGTTGGTAATAGAGAAAAGTGGACAAGTTTATGAGCAGCCTGAATCCCTGTCCTTGGGGTAAAAGTAACAGAGACAGTCAGAAAGTGAACAAATTTTGTGATGCAGCAGCAGTTCTTTCCCAATTTGATCGCATGGAAGTCCCAAATGCCAACTGGAAAGACAATGGATATTTTGTTTTAATTCAACAGTTGCTTAAACGGTTTGAATATTATAATTTTTAGTATATATCACGTACTTTGAACTTAGCCCATGTAATGGCTTATGAAGCATGTAAAAGCAAGGTACATTTTGCATTTTTTGACGTTCCTCCCACGTGGCTATCAAAACATTTTGCACCTATAGACAGAGGGGACAGTGAACTCATGTATATTCTTAAATAGTTTTTGAATGAATCCTTGTTAAAAAAAAATAGTGATGAGTACATTTATAAATGAAATTTGCATGTATATGTACATTTATAAATGAAATTTGCATGTATTTTCAATCAATTTTGCTTGTAAAATGGACCATAAATCCCAATAAAAATAACTATCTAAAAGTATATTAAAAAAATTTTCAAACCTGACCAACCCGTCTAAACCCAATTAGGCACAACCTAACCTAATCCATGCCCAAGCCTACCCTGATTAAGCTTGAGATTGACCTCAGTTTGGGCCAGGCCCGAGCCCAAGGCTTGCACCTTTGGGGTCCATTTGTACGCCAATAAGTTGGGGGCGGGGAGTTGGTAAATGTGAAAGTTAATCAACTCCCAGGGTCCAGTAAATTTTTGTTCTCCAACTGACTTTTGAGCCAATTTTTTGAGTAACTTTTACCCTTTTCCGAGGTGAATAAATCCCTTACACATGTAAGAGAAAAATAACCAAACTATAATGCATGGTTTTCAAAATCGGATTGGACTGGAGGGTCGGACTGGAAAAACTGGGAACCTGTTAGGTGACTGATTCTATTTTAATCCAGAACCGCCATTTTGCCAAAACACCGTTAATTTGGTCAGCAAATTGTTGACTTGGGCATTCAAACCGTTCAATAGTTTTAATCATTTTTTATTTTTTTAATTTTTTTTATCAAAATGAGCTGTTCATTCGATTCAAAAGGTCAGACCATTCAACTCGAAATCCAAACCCCTGACCGATTTGTTGTTTGGTCAGTTTTAAAAACCTTGCTATGTTGGGATTAAAACGCCTCTACTAACACACAAGCAAATACATTTACCCATATAACCAACTTCTTAATGAACAAACGAAGCCTTAAAAGTTAGACCTGCTTTGACCTTTCAACCCAACCCAACCTGTCCAAGTTACACGTTTACACCCCTAAGAAGGGGTGAAAAGTGAGAAGAAGAAAGTTTCTGGGACCCACAAGGTAGGTTCGTATGTAAGAGGGAAAGGGAAATGACATTGAAAATGGACAACAAAAACATGTTTTTAAAATAAAAAATTCAATATCAACAAACTAAAATAAGAAAATACAAATCCAATAACCGAGTTTCCAGTTTCACTTTTGGAAGCAAGAAAAATACTTCACAACCACGAAGACCTATTCTTCCCATTTCCTTTGGGCCCCCAGTCATCTACCCAATGGAAAACACACGACTCAATTGACAAACCTACGCCCCATTAATGTAGCCTTGTAGGTAGCAGATATAATTAATTATATATGTACTGAATATGTCTGTTCTACCCTTTTAAATTTTTTTAGGTCTTCCTGTTGGAAGGCTGAACTCAATTATTGCTTCTGTTTTGAGCTCTCTGCCTAGCCTATGCCCAATTATTCAATCTCTGGCTACCACAGGTTGGACAAAGATGTTTCTGGGCTGCTTGGCCCAAGTCAAAAACCTTATTTCTGACCCCTACCTAGCCTGGGAAGTTTCTTGCCAAGCTCCCAGATGGACCCCAGTTCCTGCCAAACAGGAAAAAGTGGACCACAGCATCCTTCTTTGAACTTTTGTGCATTATGTCTGAGACAGGGCTCCTGAACATAAAAGGAACCAAGGCCATAAAGCTTTTTTGTCATCTTGGCTGAACCCAATATCCATAACAACCATAGCTCCATAAGTTGGTATCCCTAGGGGTGGAAATGGCCCAATTTAATCAGGTAATCATCAGCTTACTTAAACCCTACTAAATGAGGTAGATTTGGGTTGGCTGGATTTAGAAATGGTGATGGGGTAAATTTTGGGGTCAGGCCAAACTTGGAGTTTGAATTCGAGATGATTTCTATCACAAAAGAGAGAGAGAGAGAGAGAATTATGCATCAAAATTAAGGCAAATATCTGGTTTATATGATATTAGTATAAGGATATGTGTAATGCAAATGAGCAAGTAAATGATAAAGATATAGCTTTATAAAATCAAATTTAACTTTTATTACTTTGCACCAAAACCAAGGCAAATATCCCCTTTATAATAAAGATAGATAGATGGTATAAGCTGAAGAAACCTGTTTATGACGAAAAGGATCTATATCCCTTTTAAGGGGCTTTTTTTCTTTTTGACAAATGGATGGTGTGGCTGAACTGTGTGGCTTATTACTTTGTCCTTTAGCGGGCAAGATAGTCGAATAATAAGATTTGTAGGGCTATGGTTATCATTAATCTATGCCTCATGCCATTCAGCCACGAGGGAGCTCACAACCTATTAAATGACTTATTCACTAAAAGACAAGACAATAAGTCATTCAATTCAGCCACTTCAGTCATTTTCAAAAGGGTCCTAAAGCATGTCATTTTGATCTAAGTTTATGGGTGTTTCCCTTTAGTTATTTTTGGGTATTTTTGTAATTTGCCCACATTGCAAAGGTAGTCATGGAGAAAGAAATCAAGATGAGCGGTCAAATTGGTAACAAAAATCAGGGTGTTTGACAAAAAAAAGTGGCCATTTTATCCTTTTTTTTCTATGGGGGCTACCTAGATGCATAGTAGTTCTTCATGAACAGTATGATGGTGCACATGTGACTGACTGTAAGCCCATATTGCTAGTATTGCTTTCAAGTAAATCCAATGTTATATAAGACATTTACCCCAAAAAAAACGAAGTTTTATAACCCAAACCAGGCATTGGACCGAAAATAGAGAGAATTCCATCCGGTTTAGTTCAACCATTGGTTCTTTAAGGCTCAATTTGGAAAGAGTACAAATACAAATACGTGTAGTGTAAATATATATAAAATAGCACAAAATAGAAGGTTTTGTACTCTACATATTTGTATTTATACTCTTCTAAACAGAGCCTTAGGCTATGTTTGGTTGTAGTGCAATTTTATTTACACTAGTACAAATACATGGGAAAGCAAATTAAAAAATGCAAATTCCTGTTTAATTTTGTTTTGGATTTTACTTTATTCTGCTTCATGTCTTAGCTTACTTCATTTACACTCAAATCATTTGCACTGCCATGATTTTGCATTTGTGCAAATTTATTTTCATTGCAACCAAACACAGCTTCAAGTTCAAACCATGCTATTAGCAAATCTACCAGGCTAAGTATTTGTACAAATTTTCCTCCACATATAAACAAGCTAGGTTCATATATATGACATGTTCCTAAACCCTTTTCTCTCATTGGATTCTTAGGCTGCATTTGGTTACAGTGCAAATCTGAATTAGATAAAAATTTTACACCTTGTTCAGTTTTGCATCTATTTGTTTGTAACTATGATATGCTCTCTTACCTAATATAAAATTTGTACTTTTTGTCTCATTCGCACTAATTAACAGTGTAAATTTTGTATCTCAAAAATTGATATAAAATTTACACAACCATCCTATTTTAATTATCTCTACTATAAGGCAGGGACCACATCATCTTGCTTCCTACCTCACTCCCAAACAAATAAACCTCCTCATATACCTCTATTCCCTTGTATATGAGGTGGGGTGATATTTTACCTTTCAGAAACAAACAAGGCAAGTTCAAATACGAAGCAAAAATAAACCAGAATCTACACTCAGTCTATCTACACTCCCATGCATTAACACTATAGTAAATTTGCATTGTAACCAAACCAAAATTCAAAATTTTGACACAAACAATACAAAAAAATGGGGTATTGTGTGCATCAAATGCTTATACTTTTTTTAAGTTGTTATTTAAAAATGAGTTTGTTATCATTAAAAATTGAAATTATTAACAATTGAAATTTGTTAATATCCCCTAACTTTCAATATTTTGTGTTTCAATGGCCTTTGATACTGAAACAATGTGATATAAATGCACAAAAAAAAATGAAAAACACTATTAAACCCTAAAATAGACAAAAAACCATAGACTTTAAAACTGATTAAAATGACTGATGAAATTGTTGAAGATAATAAATAACATGATCTTATTTTTGGTAATTCAATAAATGATTGGAATTGGATCAATTTGATGAAGCCAAGTGTAATGTTCTTAAGGCCGTTTTTGGTTGCAATGCAAATAAGTTTGCGCTGAAGCAAAACCATGGCCGGTGCAACCGATTTGAGTATAAATTTTGACCTCTTTTTGTTTCAAAGTTTAGCTTATTTTGTTTGATTGCAGTACAAGCAAAGTAAATTAAGACATGAAGCAGAATAAAGTAAATCCAAAACAAAATTAAACAAGAATTTGCATTTTTTACATTTGCACTCTAATGTGTTTGTACTCGTGCAAATAAAATTGCACAGCAACCAAACACAAGCTCAATTAAGATGGAGTACAAATACAAATATATATGTATTTGTACTGTACATGTTTGTATTTGTACTCGTTCCAAACTAAGCCTAGTGAAAAATGAGAAAGAACATTACAACAGAGGAGATTATTTAGTCTTTTCTCATTCCAAATAAATTTATAATAAACCCTAGTCGATATTTAGGAGATTGTAGCTGCTATCAAATGAGGCTTGTGTGCGTGTGTAAAGTGAATGTGATAGAATGACGAATGCCATAATACTTGGTTAGCATGGGGTGACTAGACCGGTACTTATTTTCATGTAACAACCGTTGCTTATGGAAAAAGCATAATTTACTGTTTTACACAATGTGGTTCACTAGTTTATTAGAAAATTGGACGGTTAGAAGGGTTCATCCACTTTTTCTAGCACTTCAATTAGTGGATCAGACCAAAATTGTCGTTGGTTCAGATCTAAACCGGTTTGAATATACAGTCCAATCTGGTTTTAAAAGTTAAACCGCTAGATAAATTATAAATCTAACCGGCTGTAGGGGGTGCAACGTTGACCAAATTAAGCATCTTACACTTTTTTGGGCTCAGGACTTGGGGCTGAGCCCTTTAGGTTTCAACAAAAGTCCAACTCAAGCCCGCCCAAGTTACACCCCTAACCAGGTGATGTGAGACCCAAAGCTAAAAAGAAAACCTCCATAAACTCTAGTTCATTATATCATAATCATCATCTAAGCCTTGTCCCAACTATCTAAGGTTGGTTACATGAAACCCGTTCTGCCATTCCATTCTATTTAATGTCATATCTATTGTCAAAGTCATCCATCCTTGGACAAGGATGTGAAAACCCCTGGGCTCATTTTCAAATGAATAAATTTTTTTTTTTTGAAATGGTAAATTGGTAATGTATGTAATTATGTATTGAGATAAGAAGTGATTAGATGGTCATTACTACTCAAGTCATGAGTCATGACATTACCATGCAAATTTTAGGCCACTGCCACTCGCTGAATTAGAAAGAGAGAAGCATGCAGGACAATTCTAGCAGTCTCAGATCTTTTCAAATGGACATCATATATTAATCATGAAGCAGCTGTCTGATGAATGCGACAGAAATCCTTGTGGGTCGCAGCAATATTAGAAGTAAACTTTCAGAAAACATTGGATGGCACCAAGGAAGAGAGGAGTTGGATATTAAAAAGAAAAGATAATCAGAAGTAGTGACATCATTATACATTCAAAAATTGTAAAATAGAAAATAATGTGTGTACTTTGCACTACTGTTACAAGATCACTATAAACCATCATCTTCAGTTGGAAGGCACTGAGAGGATTCGACCAACCACCATATCAACCAACCTCCCAGGGCTTCTTCACAGTCCCAATATGCAACTGAAAAATATAAAAGTTTCTAAAGTGCCTCTTTGAGTTGAAAGGTTCTGGATACTTGCCTCGCCCTGTCATATTCGTTGAGCTCAACCAGCATTTTTTTCAATCGACGAGCAAGCCCACTAGTCTCACTCTCATTCACACCAGACACATGCTTTTTCTCCAGTGTCTTTCCAAGTGTCAGCACATAATCCACCAATGGTTGCAACTTATGGCTGCACAAAACAAGGAATTCAGAATTCAGATACTTCAGAATTCCACCAGGCATTTAATAGCACTAATAATGCAGGGAGAAATGACCCGGGGATGGCTTGGATAAAACAGAAAACAACTAAAATTTAGAAGTATTGTAAACAATTGGCAAGATCCAAACTTCTCACATCCTAGTTGCTGGTAAATAAAATAGAATAAAACAGCAGTTTCTACACTTGGTTAGAGACCATATTCAAGGCAACTAAAAGAAACCCAAGCACCAGACTCAGATGGGAGATTAGACACTAGAATCAAGTAAACAAGCACTAAATGATTTTACCATTCTAGCAAAAAAACATATATGTTATGTGACTTATGACACAAATGCATTTCCAATAAAGGTAGAAACTTTGAATATACATTTATTCCCAATCCATTTCTGCTTTACTTTCCTTAGAATTATGAAAATAGAAGACATATGACCAGTAGAAATGTAAGGCTGTTTTTTTCGTTTTTGATCAATAAAGATAAATTTTATTTATTTATTTATTTTATCAGAAACGGTAACTTTCATTAGAGATAAATTAACCTGAAATACAGAATTCAACCCTTATTAGAAAAGGTTGATCCAATAAACATCAAACATTACAGCACTGCCCAAAAAAGACTCTCCCTTGCAGTCCCTTGTTTTGCTAGGGCATCAGCAAAACCATTTGCTAATCTCCTTACCCACTTGAACCAAACACCCACCTCCCTTGTTATGCTAAGAATTTCCCTTATCAGCTGTCTATATTGCCAAATTCCCAGCTGCCCTGATTGCATCCACCCAATTACCAACTTGGAGTCTCCCTCTATCTCAATCTGCTGTAGCCCCAACTGTTTGGCCAGTTTTACACCTTGATGCAGTGCCAAGATTTCCGCTCTTAAGCATCAAATAGAAGGAATTACATCGAGGTGGACAGTTCTCCACCAGAAGAAACTTTAGATTTTTGCCCAAAAAATTTGTTGTCTTGTGGTGCCTTGTTTAGCCAAAAAATGGTATGGCTGTTTCTGCATGAGAACAGCATTGAGAATTTTTCCTTTTTTTCTTTTGAAGGGGCATCTGGATTGGTGGACCAATTCCACAAGCCCAAGGTTCCAAAGTTTGGCTCTAATTTTGTAGTTGAGTTGAATTCAGAAAGTAGCACAAATTTTGGCATCCCACCCCACATTTTTTGAGGACTACGAAAGTCCCAGTGGCACTATTCATCCTTAATCCCAACTATTTGGGGTTGGCTACACAAATCATATCCTGCTGTTGTGCTCTATCAAGAGCCACGGTTTCTGTCAAATTGCAAGTCCTTTGATCATTTCTTACCAATTCATCCCACCTTTTCTTTGGCTTTCCCATTGCTCTTTTAGAGTGTTGTACTTGTACCAAGTAATTCATCTCACTAATACAGTCACCAGTCATTTATGCACATGACCAATCATCTCAATAGACTCCCAGTAACACTAGTCACTTGAATTATGCTATCCACAACTGGAGGTGAAAAGCAATTCACCATCCATTTCATCCAGTCATCTAACAGAACATAAGTTCAGATCCATATCAAAACTTCAGTTATGCAACAGTAAAAACAACATGACCAGTCAATTCGTTATCTGCATTTTTAAGTATATGACCATTTGTTGATATATAAGCATAACCACAAAAACATTACATGAAAGGAAATATAAGTGTAACAATGCAGGAATAAAGCATCTGATGAACCAAAAAGGAGTGCCTTAAAGCCTTCAGCAGTCCAGCTTTTTGCTATTGAATTGCCAAGTAAATCACTCAGAAAGTCTCATTACCAAAAAAAGGAAAAAAACAAAAAGAAACATCTGTCCAAAGAGACCATCTTTTCTTTCTTTCTTTCTTTTTTTTGAACCATACAGCCACAAAATTATGATATGACTTCCTTGCCCAAAATTATGACCCGCCTACTAGCTTAGTCTATTATTCTTTAGGACTCAAGCTTAGGAGTACCAATTAGCCCTTGTGATTCAGGCCAGTTAAGAATAATTCTTTTACATAGACTTAAGTACCAAGAAAGCATTTTATGACTTATTCCCATGAAACTTCCTTCAACATTCCAAAAGGGTCATTGCTTGGTGTTCTGATAAAATCTCAGGCTGACAAGCATGAACAGGATTGAGTCTGAGAATGGCCACTTTGTGCAAAAAATGCCAAAGCTCTGGTCCATATCCAATCCACCCCTCCCTCCCAACACCCTAAATAGCTGAGACCAACATCGAGTAAAGCCTTACTGAGAGACTTTGGTTTCAGGAGGTGGTTCATCTCAATTTGGAGAGAAGAGTTTAAGAAGGTGGCTGTTCTTAAGTAATTCCAGTTGATTTAGAAGTAATATAGAAGTAATAGTAGTAATATAACAACAACAAATGAGAGATGCTGTCCAGCAAATAGTTCATGTGAGATGGATGGATTAACCATGCATGCTGAGAAGATATTGTCTAGCAAATCCATTTAAAGCCAGGTAATTGTTTTCTACTGAATGAAGAAAGCCTACATTTGCTATAACCTATTGCTTTCTAAGTGTTGAATTCTTTTGATTGCTGCATGGGTTCCAAAATACTGAAAGGGTGCTGATTTTTCTTCCATCACATTTTTTGTTTAATCTTTCTAACTTTTTTCCTTTATTCTAATCACACCTTGAGGGTGAAACTATGGGATCAAGCAAAGAACATAAGTTTCAAGTTCTCACCTAAAAGTTTCCAAACATAACCCTAACCCTTTCAATCTCAGTATATAAGCAGTGCAATAGAGAATAGCATAACTACCTGCGCTCCCCAGTGACACTAGGACCTGCCCAAACCCCAATTAGTGATGAGATGATCCTCTCAGTCCGTGTAACAGCATCATGAATATTTGCTTGGATACTTCGCATGTGAGGGAGAACCTTTCCACTCAAAAGCATATCAAGAGCAAGCTGTTCTAGAACTGGCAATGCTAGGATATCCTTCCACAAGCAGATATTTCTCAGCAAACGAACAGACATCCCAAATCGGTATGCTGCAACTCGTGCAGCATCTGGTACAGCCTTTATTACAAGTGCACTCCAGGTTGGAACCTATGAATGGAAGTGATAGTTTAAACAAAAGCAAGACAAATGTTATGGTAATTCTGTGCAAATAAAACTGAGTCTATGAGTACATGATTGATGCAGATGACTGGGTAGAACCAAAAGACATACATTAAGATTAGTGACAGCATCAGCAAGACGGTCATGAATAGCTGCAAACAATTCCCGAAGAGCCTCACTGGATGCTGGGACATAATTAATCACCAAATTTGTAGCAGAAACTGCATTCCTTGTCTCCTTTGTACTAAGCATGTCCCAGCAATGAGCAATTTCATGGTGCAAAATAGGAAGTGCAACCTTTTCAACTAGTTCAGGTACAAGGTTAGCATCATCATCATCTGGGTTGAAGTCATCTCCATTTTCTGGGAACCCATAGTTGAACAGCAGAGAATGCCTAAGATGCAAAAAATAAATTAAAAATGAGGAATAAAAAGGTAACAAATTATGCAGTCATAATATGGTTAACTCTGTATATCCAACTGAAAAAGACCATCCATGTTTGGGTCCAATTGACCTAAACCAAGGAGAAAAACAAAAGATATGATTTATGTCTATGTCCACAAAGAAGAAAAAAATACAAATCATATACCATAAGGCTCCATTTGGGAAGAGTGCAGATACAAAAATGTTCAGTACAAATGCAAATATGTTTGGTTCATAAAAATGCAAAGTTGGTTTGGTTTTGTAATGATCATCTTGTACTTTTGCCAAATGATTTTTAGTTGTGATAGGTACAAACATGAATCCCAAGACTGGAATCCACCTTTTTTACATTGACCTACTTTGAGTGCAAAAGTTAGCATCCATTTTTTGGAATGCAAACTTTGTTCTCATTTTAAATGCAAACATGTCTTGAAATCTGTGTTTTCTTTCATTTTCAAGACAAATGCATTCTTACCAAACACCAGCAAAACTGAACCAGAGTGAATGTATGCACTGAATCAGCATTTGCACTCTTCCCAAATGGAGCCTAAGGTTCAGGAATGTCATAGTTGCATATATGATACTAATGCACTGAAGTAGGAAAAAACATTCTGCATCTTATCCAATAGACCATATATGTCAAATGTAGACCCAAAAGGATTACCACCATCCAATTCAAAGGCAACTTTCATACTTTATTTGATTAGCAAAAGAAATTTCATGTAACAGATTGCCTAGGTAGGAGATGTAGTAGATGAGACACAATGAACAGTCTTCACCCTTCCTTTAATGTCCAGCACAAAAAATCCATCAAAGGTTGTACTAATTGCACAAGGAAAAAAAAAGAGTCGAAGTGTTTCTATTCCTCTAGAGGAAAGTACTAACAATGGTACTTACAGACCATTGCATATCATTGAAATCAGTCTCCTCATAAAGTGGGTCCCATTTTAGAAGCTCAAGCCTGACATATGGAGAGAAGATAGCAGGTGCGCTTAGTGACATATAAGCATCTCGGTAGCTGGATGAATAACACTTCTTCCATATCTCAAATTTTTCCTTGACCAGTGAAAGTTGGGAAAATTCTTCAGATGCATCACTGAATATTTGTTCAGCAGTCTGCAGCAATAAATCATGGTTAGAACAGTATGCCATACTCTCACTATCACTCTCATCAGTGCTAGATTCTCCTTCTATGCGGTGATAGGCGCTATCATCTCCAACAGATGACATTCGTTTTGACTCGGAATGGGCTTTCCTCCGTTTTCTAGCCTCAGACCTCCTCATCATGTCCATACGCTTCTGTAAGTTCACATCTCTACCAAATTCATCAAGTTGAACAGGTAAGTTTGATTGTTCTCTTGCTGCAACTGCTGCAGCCTGTGCTGCACTTGTGGCTGCAGCAACCATTGCAGCAGTGCTGCCACCTTTACTTAATACAGACATTGCTGCACCTACAGCTGTTTCTACCTCCATCATCTCATCAGCATTATCAGCACTTCTTCTTTCTGTGATAGCAGATGCACGCTCTTCATGAAGTTTCTGCATTTGTTCTTCAAGTTCCTCTATGAAAGGTGCCTTATGCTGGAATAAAAGTTGGAACACATCAATTAGAAAACATCAGTAAGCATCACATTTTCATTTAGGTGGCACAGTATGGATGTAGTGGAACATGTCCCTTGTCCACATGCATCGTAGAAGGACACAAGCAATAAGGGAACATGAGAAAGAACCACGCATTTTTATATTAACAAATCTAAAAGATGAAGAAAATCTGCATACAAATAACTGTCAAAGGAGCTTAGGAAGATCCCTCATGGAACGGTGTGCATAGACTGGATTACATAAGAAAATTAGAAATTTACCAACTCATCCCAACCGTGTTACTTCCAGACTGCCCTATACCAGCTAATTTTTGTTGTCTGGTCAAAGGAGCCATTTACCCACTCCCAACAACATTTTTCAACAGTTATTTCATTTATTATTAATATATGTAATATAACACAGATGCCAAGCATCCCATTGGTTCAGTAGCTGAGGAGCCACCTTTACCATCATATGTCTTTCACCATTACCCCTTGTACCCAGAGTATCAGCCATGTTGGCTGATCTACCCCTTGTTGAGCTATCTTATGACCTCTTTTATTTCCCTTCCATTTCTATGTTTCTGTAATCATTTGTTTTGGCTAGTCTCAGACCTTGCAATGCTGCTTCTGCTACCTCTGCTCTTGTTGAGTTTTCTTGTCCTAAAGTTCCTTAAAATATAGCCAATATGCTTCCATTATGTTCCAACTGGTGGTATAATGGCAGAAAGTATGCTAAGATGGTCTGATGACATGCATAAAAGACCATCTACAGAACCAGTAAGAAGTGATCTGTTACAAGTGGAAAGGGCTAAAAAAAGCTAGGACGTGGGTTGAGGTAATAAGAAATGATCTAAGGGCTCATAATTTAAAATGGATATGACACTTAAAAGAACGGATGCCCAAACAGGATTCATGTAACCAGCACAATATAGCTGGGACAAGCCTTTTTTTCTCTTTAATCCTTGCAATTTTATCTTTTATCTTTTTCATTATCAATAAAACTTCGCTCATCAGTTACCAATCAAAACAAAAAGGAAATAAAAAAGGATGTAGAAGGACATGGAAATGAATACATAGATTTGAATAACCCCATACCTGTAAAAACTCRCATATAACAGAAACAAAGTCACGAAGCTTTTGCATAAAGATGAACTTCTCACCAGCAGCTGATAGAGCATTTTCAAGAGAAGTGATATTCAACAATGATGCAGACAAATTCTCGTCAGTTCTGGAAATTGATGACATGGTTCTTCCATGAGATTCCTGGTAAGAAGAAAAGGTTGAGTGCATGATTAACTTCGTAAATTCTCACATAATGTAAAGATATTAGTTAGAGCATCTGGTTACAAAAATCTTCTTGAGTGTGTCAAACTGGAGGAATACAACAATTAAATATAAAGGCTTCATACTTTTTTTCGGAACAGTATATAAAGACCTCAAACCTGAAGCAAGGAAAATCTTTTAATTTTTAATGGATTAAGAAAATCAAAATCAACTTTAATTATCAAGAAACTGAGCTATACTTAGTCAAGGATTAAGAAAGTAAAAATGCAATGGTATAGAAGATTGGAGCCTGCTAACTCAGAACATGACTCAATTTAGAATGTTCAGACTTTAGACTTCAGTTAGGAGCAATTCAAGTCATCTTGAGAAGCCATGATACTTTTTTCATCTTGACAGAGTTAGGGGGAAGAAGTTTCAAAAACAACAAACTAAAGTCAGGTTAGGCACTTTACAATTATATGAGCAATAAAAGCAGTAACAAGTTTCAATAATTCCAACTTGTAAAAGTCCATATGGCCACCATTAATCTACTAATAAGTGTTGATTTCAAATAACACTAAGAGAGGCTACACCACTGATAGCAATCTGGAATTTCCCATTCCATTCGATTGAAGACCAGCAAGTGATCTGGCAGATTCATTAGCAAGGTCTGAATCTACAAGGGAAGAGATATGCCTGGAAACAACACTACCAGCATAAAAAAAAAATTAAGACTGCATGGAGAAACTTGCAATATGCAGTCCAAGTGTTTGAAACTTGTATCATATATTACAATAACTCTGTATTAGGGGTGCAACTTTTTCAAGTGTAAACTGTTAACTCGGGCCAACCCGACTTGCACCCCTACTCTGTATGTATTAACATTATACCATCAATAAAAGATTGGCTTGCCCATCGAAATATTCAGCTCATAAAATTATATCCGTTTTGAGTATGCATTTTTCTATTACTCTTTTTTTATCAGTAATAACATAAGCTTTATTAAGCGTGATTTTAAAGAATGCCGTACAAATAAAAAGTGCCAAAATACCCGTGTTTGGGCCAGCTATTGCTGCCCTCCCTTTCCCATTTTACTTCTTACAAGTTTACCTCTTGGGGAATCAGCCCCAAAAATAATTGACCCTGTTTGCCAAGGCACCCATCATACTATTCGCTGATCTTGGAGTCCAGTTGGAGTTTGTTCTTAGTTCTCTAGCAACTGTTTCACCTCGTTGATTACACGCCTATATTTTTTTATCAGCAATAGAGAAATTATTTGGAAAAAAAAAAGAACACAGCTTCAGTGGAGCTGACCCAACCCAAGTATTACAACTGAGCCCAATACAAGGATTGTCTTTGTACTGCTTGATTACATGCCTATATTTCCACGGTCCCATGACGTCTTTTATTATCCAACACACTATTACATGAGAATCCCTTTCCACCAGCATGTTACTATAGTTTAGGAGCTTAGCCAATCTCATTCATTGTATAGCTGCTGGTTATTCAGCCCTTGTTGAACCTCCAAGAAAAGTGGCTCCAAAGATTAATGCATGGATCAAAAAAAGACTATTACCTAAGGTTGATCCCAGGGCCTTGGGAGGGGTAGATTGGGTATGGTCGTAACCTTCGGCACTTTTTGCACAAACCCACGTTCTAACACTTGCCAACCTGAGATTTTACCATTACACCTAGTAATAGAAAAATGCAGACAAGTCCAAGTACTTGACTTGTGAATAAAACTATATCATAAATTGTATATAAGACAAATCCTAAAAACTAAAAAGAACAAACAAGTTGTTTACAATAAATAACTGTGTTGAAGATTAATTAGTTTTATGCTGTTTTTCTGAGTAGATGTTTTATGTTAGTTGTTAGATAGGAGGTGGGGACCACAGTAGTTATGTGAGTCCAATTTTTTATTATGTTTCTGAGTGTTATATATGCTGTTTTATGTTTTGCCACCCTATAAGGGCATAGTTGTCTTTGTACTGTTCTATTATTTTAGTATAAATAATAAGTGAAGGGGGCGGCCAGATTTTTTGCTCTCTTTTCTTTTCAACTTCTCTTCTTCTCTTCTTCTCCTTCTCTCTTCCTTCTCTCTTCAAGAAACTACTTTCTTTCATATATTTTTTTTAATTCAGCAGATTTCTACTTGGTATCAGAGCATCGGCTAGGGTTTCTTGAAGCATTCTCATGCAGCCCTAGATCAGCCAACTGCATGAAGTAGTAAAGGACTGATCGATCTGCTATAGATTGCCCAGTTCTTGGAGTTTTTGGTGGGACCTAGACATCAGGAAGGTGATCTACTGTTCGGCATCAAAATCAGGAAGAACTGGAGTACGGGGAAGAGTCCTAGAAAAGTTGGACTCTTTGTTTTTKATCTGATCTTGGGCACCCAGGTATTGTTAGTTTTCTTTTGATTTTCTGAAGAGGGCGGTTTGGTTTCTGAAATTTTCTAGGCCTCCTGGAGTGATCGATTCACTTTTCTCTCTGTTGAGAGGCGTAGGGAGGAGAGAGATTTCCCTCCAACTAGGGTTTTCTTCTTCCAGAATGGTTGGTTTCTGTGTGTGTGGTATTAAATTATTTTTTGAAGGTCTTCAATCTATTTTTTCCTTATTGCTGAACTGTTCGAAGTAAAATGGAGAGTTGGAATACCGAGATGAAATCTACCGGTACTGTGGGAYTAGGTGTTGGAGGTAGTAGTGATATTTTTGGGTCTGAGATCATTACTACAGTAAAACTTGATTGTACAAATTATTTGGAGTGGGCACAATCAGCTAAGATGGCTATTGGTGCCCATGGAAAATTAGGGTATCTCACCGGGGAGGAGGAGAAACCTGATATAGACTCTTCCCAATGGGTGCAGGAGAATTACATGGTAATGTCTTGGCTGTGTAATTTTATGTTACCTCATATTGCAAAAAAATTTCTATGGGCTAATACTGCTAAGGAGATTTGAGATGGAATGACTAAAACCTACTCTCTTAAGCAAAATGAAGTCAGAGCCTATCAGTTAAGAAATCAGGTGATAAGTATTAAACAGGGAGAAAAACCTCTTGCTGTGTATTTCTCCATGCTAAAAACCCTATGGCAGGAAATAGATCACTTAGAAACTGTGGTATGGTAAAGTGTAAATGATGCAGCAACTTATCACAAACCGGTAGAGAGGAATAGGGTTTGTGAGTTCTCAGTAGGGCTGAACCCTGATTGGCATTGCTAGGCAGCATATTCTTTCTTGGGAGGGTATGACACTCTCTCAGGCCTATGCTTTTGTCTCTGGAGAGGAGAGTAGGAGGAATGTAATGCTGAGACAGCCTGAGATTGACCAGTCGGCTATGGTTGGTACAACAAAACCTAAGCCGAATGGAGACAATGGGAGTAGTGAGACTAGAAGGGAAGATAAGGGCTTGGTGTGTGATTATTGCAAGAAGCCTAAGCATACCAAGGACACTTGTTGGAAGCTTCATCCAAATCTTATGCTTGCTCAAATAAGAAACAAGAAGGGAAATGCAAATGTAGCCACTACAGGAGACTCTTCAGCCCCTCTCTCCCAAACTGATTGGGGATCCATTGCAGTAGCAGCAGTGAGAACAAAATTGGAGAGGTTTGGACAGCTTATGAGTAAGAAAGATTCACCCAACTCTAGTCTTCCAGATGGACAGCAGAATGCAGGAGCCAACTACACCACTTCCTTTGCACATACATGTAGTTCATATGCAACTGCAAATCTTGCATCCACTTCAGGTAAGGAGGGACCTCCCTAGATTATAGACTCAGGAGCATTTGAGCATATGACTAATGCTCCTACCATTTTCGATTCCTATCAGTTGTGCTCTGCTAGAGATAGTCTTTATAGCAGATGGTTCACATATGCCCATTGCTGGGAAGGGGACAGTTAGAGTGACCAATGATATAACTCCGTCTTCTGTTTTACATGTCCCTAGACTTCATACYAACCTACTGTCTGTTAGTTCTTTGACAAAAAAATTTGAATTGTTCACTGACCTTTCTTCCTGGTAATTGTGTTTTGCAAGATCTGGAGTCAAAGAAGATGATTGGGAGTGGTCGTGAGGTGAATGGAGTCTACCTTCTGGATGAGATTCCGAGACATCATGGTCATCATGTTAGCAACAGAAGTAGTAGCGGGTCAGAGTCAGTGAACCAGATCATGTTTTGGCACAATCGCTTGGGGCATCTTTCTTTTAGTTCTTTGAAATGCCTTTTCCCAAAGTTGTTTGAGTCTGTTCAATTATCTACTTTTCAGTTAGGAAAGCATTGTAAACAGTCTTTTGAACCAAGCAATAAAAGACGTACTTTTGCTTTTAATATTGTTCACATTGATGTATAGGGGCCATATCAAATCCCTTCCATGGAAGGATTTCATTACTTTCTCTTGTTTATGGATGATTATAGACGATATTCTTGGATATATTTGATGAGACCACGTGATGAGGTTCCTAACTTATTACAACAATTCCGCCAGATGGTTCTCACACAATATGGAGTGAGAACTAAGGCTTTTAAATTAGATAATGCTAGAGAATACTTTGAGAAGGACCTAACCACGTATCTATTAGAACATAGTGTAGTTCATCAGAGCAGTTGTGCATATACACTGCAATAGAATGGAGTTGCTGAGAGAAAAAACAGACACATTGTGGAGGTGGCAAGGAGTCTTATGGTGTGTGCTTCAGTTCCTGTGCAGTTCTGGGGAGATGCAGTTCTTACAACC